GTTATATCTTTATTTGGGATTACATAGACTAAAATAGTAATAGCCAACCAGCTAAATTGGATTATATCTATCACCTCCAAGGTTGATAAGGTTCAAAGTACAATTTCTAAGTTTAGAGGAAATGTCTTAGTAGAGTAGCTTTATATGTATCTGTTAAACTGTTAATAAGCATTGTTTATTTTAATACTGTTACAGTAAATGTAATAGGATTAGACTGTATCTAATCTGTACAGATAAAATTTCTTTAGGGTATTAATTTGGTTAATTTCCAATAGACAAGATAACTTATGTAGCTAAATTGGTTTTAGGTCCGAAACCTATTTAAACGGCAAGTTCGCCGACAATAAATTAGATTGCGATTTTTTAGTAAGTCTTGAAGGTCTCCCTGTGTTAAACCCTATCTGTTTTTATATATCATTTGTTTGATATTCGAAATAACAGTGGTAAAGGGTAGAAATCACTCTCTCAATTCTTGTCGCAAGTTAGAGCTATTCCTAGCTCGTAACATATGCCTAAAAAACTATATAGTTTCATAAAACTAATAATATTAATGTCTTAGCTATTTAAATTCGAATATGCGGCCTTAGAAACTTCTTTTGTATTTTAGGAGTCTATTATTTCTTAATGAAAGCATTTAGAAATGATATTAGTGAATCGATAACTGTTAGCTTGAAGGGAAAAAATCCATATTTGCAGTTTACAACCTTTGGTAGTCCAGTAAAGGTTGAAATACCAATATCTGTTGTGCCAAGGGAATCTTCTGGTGAGAGATATATACGTATTCATCTTCAATAAGTTTATGGTATTAATGCTAGCTGTAATAGTTGATTTTAATGATCCTACAGAGAGATTTCAACTGGTTGTCGGCGTTTATGAAACTTTACCGGTTCAAATAAGTAGCAGGTTAATAAAACTGCTGAGCCTATTTGTTAATATTTCATTCTGTATGATCGATTTAAAGTAAAATATGCAATGAAAGTACCGCAATATCTCTATACTGTAATTAAAATTCTATATTTGACAAGTTTTTAAATTACAGTATAAATAAGTGACAGTAGAAAAGAAAATTGGCAAGTTATCGTAATATTAGAATGCTTACAAACTGTTAAAACCGTCTGATGGTAATCTAACAGAAAACTTATTGCACAAATTATGCTATTGAAGAATATTAATTCCGTAGCAAAAAATGCCATATTAAATAACTGTATGAATCATGCTTCTGTATTGCACTAGTAAACTTAAACGCGAATACAATCTAAGATCATAATTCGCTTCTGGAAAATGTTTTATTTTAAATTTACTGTTCTAGTGCTGTTGCTGCCTAAGTATGGTATTTCGATACTATAGAGAGAGAGAGACTAATAATTTGCATCTTAAATCAATTTTCCTTTAATTTTGTAAATGAATATTATTTTGCTACAAAATACGAATGTATTAATTTTTTTAAGACCAAAGGGCTGGTTTTGCCAGTTAAAATTTTCTTTTCGATTTGCAGTAAATGGCCACCACTTAAACATTCCGTATTATGTAAAATTCAACCTTTAATAACAAAGAAATTTCAAGATCCAATTATCTTTTACTTTAAAATCGATGAGGTAGTGAAAGTTGAAAGAACTAAGTTAACAAAATAATTGCATCTGCTATCAATGACGTAATCTTTCGCTTAATCTATGTGATTATCGCTTATTATAGTTTACTACTTGTAGTTATTAACTTTCTATCGTTTTTAAACTAGAACAGCACGATTCAACCTTTGTGTAGTTATTGGAATGGAAAGTAAGTATTCCTACCTTCAAATCTTTACTGCAATAAGACTTATTTCTGCCTTTATTCACTGAAATTTATCTTAAATTAAATACCTAAACTGACTTATTCTTATCTTTTCTCGTTAAATATTTATTAGTCAATGGGCTACAGATGGAGTTGAAACTCAGAGATTAAATAGTACAATAGTCAAATGTATTGCCTATCATTTGACCAGTTTCTCAGTTTTACTCCAATTTGCTCAATATTTGGTAAACTCTAGAGTTTTACATTTATATTTCACTATGAATTGGCTATTTAATTAAAAAGTACTAGCTGATAAAACAATCTTTTGCTTTCTTTCCAATAAAGATTGATCCTCTTCATCTGAAGATTTTAAGTATTTTAACATATGTCGGATTATCTATTTCGTTATTTTGCCTACTAATAACCCTCTGGACTTTCACTACTGTCAGGTGTTATTTCTATTAATTTCCAACTAACTGGGCAAATACACAAATTTATGTTGTTTTTGTTACCTAGATAAGAAATGTACTGTAGAGTTAAATAATTTATTATTATTTTTTATGCTAATATTGAAATTAAACGATTTACTTAAAACAGACGATTTCATAGCATTCGCGGTATGATACATGCTAATTTGGCAGGATCTTTGATTATTTCCACTTGTATATTTTTAGCTGGGATTGATAGAACTGATAATATGGTAAATGATTCAATTAATTTAATATCACTAATTAAGATTTGCTTAGACTAAAAATCCATCACGATGATATAAATAGAAGACTGACCTCAGCTATGAACAGATTATATTTTAATAGTAATCTGAGTTCTAAAAAAATTAAGAATTAACATAAAATCAAATATATCAGAATGTTCAAATATAAATAATGTAGATTTTTAATGTACAAACTCATTTAAGGCATCTTTTTCTATGAAGATAATATTTAAAAATAGATTTCACCTTATTAAAGTCCATTGTCGGCGATGATTATTCGATCGATTAGGTATTATGTCAGATTATTGCCGCAATTCTTCACTTTTCGTTTTTGGCGTCCTTTGCTTGGATGCTGGTGGAAGGAATCATTACTTTTAAAATGGCTACTCAATGGCCAGAAACGGTCTTTTCTTGCGTGATATATAATGTTTTAGGATGGAGTAAGTGCTCAGTAATGAAATATCGGAGTAGAGGAATTGATACTATAACTCTAACAATTTACGTCTGCAATTTAAAGGTGGGTCGATTATCATTGTTCTTGTGGCTTTCCTGCTGAAAAGGGAATTTTATGGCAGCAAGAATTAGTATGTTTCAGTGATAGCATGGACATATAATGACTACTATTCGCCTTATACTGAATCCTCTTCTAAATTCCCAATAACAACAGCTACGATTAAAACAGTCTCTATTGCATCAAATAAATGGGTCGTGTAAATCAGTTAGAATAAGGAGCAATACAACCAGTAGCATTCTCTACTAGCTATCTCTAATTCTAATTCTAACTAATATCCATCTAATCTTCTTGTTTTGCTATGCTATTTACTCCAATATTGTAAATATATGAAATAGCAGGTTTTATATTTATTTATTATTTAGATTCCAGAGTTCATTAGATCATATGTAAATCATGTACAGACGAAACATATCCCACCTTCTATTTCCAATATTATTTATCGCTATTACATTTTCTATTATCACTTTATTATACAGATTGACAATTTTAGTTGATAAATTATCAATACATGAACCTAATAGATGACATCTTATCTTAGTGATAACTACCATTATCCTACAGGAAAAAATTAATAAAATAAATTAGATTATTTAATGGTATAAGTATAAGTGATTTAAAGTTACACAATAAGAATCCTAATTATTTTTGAAGAACTAATTATAATCTCTGATGCAAATATCAACCTTTGTTCTTAGTTGTTGGATTACTTCGAATCCATTCTTATTGTACGTTTTCGGAATTCCCGTTCTTGTAGTCATTATTGTAAGTGAATATAAGATACGATAATCTGCACTACGGAGTTTATTTGGATTAGAACATATACAACCATACCTCTATCTTTAATACTCTTTCTGATTTTCTAGATCAATATTATACTTATGATAAAGATAACTAGAATTCTAATGGGAATTCGAGCCGTGGCAAATAAATCTAATTTGGAGAAAGCCAAGTAATTTCAGACTGTTTCATAAGTTTTAATTAAAGTAGTGTAACTAATCTGACAGATTTAAGATTCAGCCTTATAGTTCAGTTTTATTTGTATTGAAGCTTTTAATTATATGGTTGCATTGCAAATTCTCACAATTCGTATATTATAATAATCTATTTATACGTAGTATATTTAGGTGTTGTAATGTAACTTAGTATTGTGATTGTAGACTGTTAGCCATGTGTAGTATAATGTACGGTAGATATTTATCCTAAGAGATATTTGGTAGCTGTAACTATAGACTGTAGTGGTAGAGACTCTATGCTAGAGTACAGATGACTATATACAGTAAGCTGCTGAGTTACTAATATGGCTATAGGTAAAAATAGAACTGTAAATCATATATTAGGATATGGTTAATTCATTGTACTTTGGCTGGTGTGAATAATGTCTACGTAAGTACTGTAGTCGTATCCATATTGGATTAATGATGGTCCGCAGTAGAATAGCCTTACTAAGAATAATTTAAATATGTGTAAAATAAGGTAAAAGGTTGCCATGCGGATTGTAGCTGCGAATTCTACGGAAAGTATAACAGCATGCAACTTTAGATTATTCTGTTAGTTCGTTGTAGAAGTCTTTAGAAGTAGTATTCGGCTAGAGTAGAGCTGTGTAGTTAATCTTTGTATAAGATTGAATAAAGCCCTTATTTTTCTAAAATTTGGAATTTTGTGATTGGTATATATCACACCAATCATTAGTATTCACTAGTGTACTGTATTTGGGGTAACAAACGAGATGTATCAACATGTTTGTGAGGGCGGGTAGGCGGTGGGCAAAATAATTTGGTAGGAAATTTAATCGAGCAAAATATTTAATCAAATGTAGGATACTGGTACTTACTGTAACCTTTTAATTTACCATCACTAACGTAAATTATGAAAATACTAAACTTAATATAAAATTAAAATTCAGGTGGAGAAGAATTTTAATAACTAAATTTTCTCATTTTACGTATAGAGCATCGCTGCGCGCTTCCCTTGCTTTGTTGCCTCTGCTTGGAATTACCTGGCTGTTTGGCTTTCTAGCAATCAGTAATGGTACTCTGGTATTTTCCTATCTCTTCGTTATATTAAATTCCTTACAGGTGAAAAAGTTTTCCTTCTCTATTATATTATGCTTGTCTTTCATCGACTCGTAGAAAATTTATGATATAGTAATATCTTTTTCATCATATACCATATAGGGAACATTTGTATTTTATTACCATTGCCTTAAATATAAAGACGTAAGTCCTCAATATATATATAAAGAGCAAATTTTGTTAGATTTTACATGAATTTTTCTTTTACTCATATAATTTAAGGTGAAAAATTATTATCGAAGATTTCTTACAAAATGTCGGATTACTGTCAGCTCTATGAAAATTTCCGATGGTAGTAAAAGTCATAATACTAGAGCAAAAGAGGTAAATGATCACCAAAAGACTTAATAAACAAAAATAGATTAGTCTAATATGGTAAATAGACTTTGCTCAGATTCTACAATATTTCTTTACTCAAAGCTACGATAATTTGTTTTAGCATCCAAGATCTGCTTGGTCAAAGAGATAATTCAGTCAAGACAGGACCATCATCGTCTTTTATTTATTAATAGTAGATTTTCCTTGCACTGATAGACGTTACATTATTATTCTTTTAAGCTTTTAATCATTTATACCCAAGGAGTATTTTAAGAATTCAACTTGTGTTTTAAAATTTATTAAGAGTTAAAAGTTTGCAATATATGATAAATTTGTTAGGTGCAGCGTTTTCTAAACAATAGAATAAATATTCATGCGGTAAATAACATCATCTTCAAAAATTAGCTATTTAAAAGGCTGCAGTAAGGCAGTATGCTAGTACTAAATAGTAACTTATATTGTAATTAATATCTATCATGTTAACTACTCATTAAGATCAGTTCTCTATGACAATGTCA